TCGTCCTCTTCGTCCTCCTCTTCCACCTCGTCCTCCTCGTCATCAGCGTCTCGCTCTTGCTGTGCCTCGGCCGCAGGTGATGGGTAGACTTGCGAAGGAGGACAGCGAGACACTGTGTTGGTTGGGATAGCTGTATGTATGTGTTGTAGCTGAGCGGCGTGCCGTTTTTGTGGCGACTCATTGTAGATCGACGAGCTTTCGAGGCCATAGAAATTGCCATCTGGCAGCAACGCCTGGGGCACGTCCAAAGCCCGCTTCCTACCCTTACGTGGCGAACTATTGGTGCGTGTACGTCTGGCGTATCTGTAGTCTCCCTCCGTAAGGTGAGCATTTGCCATAGTTCCTGTTGCCGGGCCAAAGTTCGTTTGGGCAGGGGTACTAGCGCTGCTGAAGCCAGCCATGCATTCAGTGTTGACCATCCAATTAATTGCAGCTCCCATGCCCATGTCATCGGCTGTCGCGCCTCCTATGGCTGCACCCGGAAGATTGATGCCCAAACTCGCATCGAATTCGAAATCCGGGTCAACAAGATACGGGTCAAAGTCGGGGTCATCGTCCTCTTGCTCTTCCTCAAAATCCATCATCATGAAGGGAAGCCCACCACTTCCTTGTAAATGACCCAGAGGCTGGCGTTGCATAGGCGAAGAAGAAATATGCGAGGTAGAGAGTCCAGAAGAATTCGATGGATTACCGCTGGTGGAAGTCCGTTGTATAGGATGTGCAGTGTTCAAGATGGGCATGCCGGCCGGACCAGTAGTGGCATTCGCTGGGTAGTGACTGTTGCTGTCATTACCGCTATGAGCGCCACGAAGTTTTTGTGCAGGATCTAAAGCAGAGTGGTTACGGCTGCTGCTCCTGTTATTGCTGATGTTGCTTATCGTCTGGTTGCGCTGCGCTTCTTGTTGGCTCATAAGCTTTTGAAGCAAAGCAGTCAGATCTTGCTCTCTCAGCGACTGCTGCGAAGGAGACGCCGCAGCCGCTGGGCCATTGAGCTTGACCTGCAACGCATGCCAGAATCGCTGGAATCCATCCGCCCAAGATTTGAAAAAAGTTAGCCAGAGTGGGTACATCGCGCCGACACCCAAGCCATAATCGGCTCACCTGTAGATTTGCCTGCTCCTCTGGTTTCAGCCCTTCACTGCTCCCGAGCACTTGCGTCAAGAAAGCGATGACGCTACCTGTATCTGCGGCCAGGGCAGCTGCGGCTGAATCCGCGGACTGCGCGCCGCCTTCTCTTGATGGATCCATCTTTTCCTCGGACTCCCTTGGGCCATGGATGCTTTGACGTACTCAGGCGTGATTGTCAGAGGCAGAGCACACGCTTTACATTGAGGGTAACCCTGCCCCTGCCATTTCCTGTCTTCCGCCGGCTCAGGAGATACCTTAGCAGTGCATTCTGGACGTCGACGATCGCAGGGGATGTGCACCTGATAGTTAGGAGGGGAAGATGCTACTTGAAGTATATTACAACCGGTTGCTTACCCTCCTCAAGCGCAGTTAAACGAATACTTGAACCAGTCGCGTCACGGGAGGACGCGAATCGCGATGACGCCCTATAGCATTACGTAAGTATTTGTTTTATGGAAGATTTAAGCTCATGCAATCTCCACTGACCGTCTGCCCTACCAAGCCCTAGCTGGGTACACTTAGAAAGGCGCCAAGGGTTATAGGCGGCGGGTAACATGCAAAATATGGACTTAGTGTGTATTGACGATTGAGTGATGTCTGATGGAGTTGGACCATCTCTGCTCGCCTCGGGGTTGTGCAAGCTGTTCCTTTTTTTGCAACCCATTCCAGGCTGCACTTGAACCAAAATGTAATTGCCCCAATATATATGGCGCCTCTCGCCTCTCCAATCCAACATAACACACAGTACTCTGCAGAGCAGTATCATAAGACAGTAGGGCGAGAAGAGGATGTAGAGTGGCTTGTATTCGTGAAGTGAAATGGCCGACTGGATACAGATGGGTGTTCTAATATTCATAGGCGACAGCTGAGCTTGCGATTCCCTTAGTACAGCCGGTGTAGGCATAGCGAGATCGAAGGAAGCGATAACAAGATATTTGTGTAGGAGAAAGGGAAGCAGTTGGTCGAATAGCGAACGAGTAGAGGTTGGGCATAGCGAGTTGAGCATAAAAGATGTAATAGTGATGATGTTTACGTAGAGATGTCGATTGGTTTTGATGATGACGTTGCCACCGTTTGTGTTGTGCCTCAGATCCGGTTGTCTGTATCTGGCGGACAGCGGGCTTCCTACGCTGCCCATTTGCTAGTCGTGGCACCGGCCTACTGCGATGCTGCGGAGGAAGGCGGTGCGCATAGACGCCCTGGAAAACCGAAAAAGCTTCGCCGCAATCAATCTTGAGCAAAAAAGTTGCGGAGTGCTTCATTACGTGTCGCCGTTGTCCACAACCTGCCGGAAACCCGCAAGCGCCGGTACACAGTTCGTCCGCTCCACGGCGATTGCTCGAAGAGAAAGAAGTCGGAGCCTCCGAGGAACAAGACGCTTTACTGATGAGTGCAGACAACACATTGCCGCGTTTGGTCTGTAGGCTGAACACTGCCAGGGCAGGCCTATAAGCCGCACCCTGGAGCGCCTGTGACTCTGTGAGCCTCCCCCCAAACGTACACTCATGCGCCAGGACCACACTAGCCCGTATGAAGAAGCTCATCTACGCCGATTAGTCGACTACGGAGCACGGACGAGGGCACAACCGCGCGATGGTAAATAAACTTTGGAAAGGCGATGAAGCGAGCATAAATAGCTTGCGACGCTTTCACCGGCCCATCTCTGATTTAACGTGCGCGCCACTGATCGACGCGTAGAGATGAGCACCATTTCTCCCGCTGTCTCCTCCGTGGTAGCTGATAAATACCGCCAAACGAGAGACGAGCGACAACCCGCGCTGATGCATACACTTGTTTTTTCAGTTTCCGAAATCGGAGGATCGGTATTAATGGTATCTCGTGGTCTCCGCTCTTCTGTGATTTGTCACCTAATCCTATCCAGTGTGAAAACCCTGCGGACATGCGACGACCAATCCAGATTCAGACAACCTTAAACTTCTCGCGTCTGTTCGCCGCATGGCGACACTTCTTGTTTGTTGGTCTTTCCATGGCGTCTTGGCGCCTTCCCGGTGCCGTCCCTCACACCTCACTACTCGATACTCACTTGCGCACTTTTAGTATGAGCTGAAGGGCTCGCCCCGCAAGACATGCGCATGGCAACCTATCGCACCCTCAGCCGATTTTCCCTTCCTTCACGTCGTCTGCGTTCAAGTCGCTGAAATGCCGATGATGATAAAAGGAAGCGCACCATCTTGTACTGACCGGCGTCCCTGCATCAGCGTCTCCTCTGCTCGCGACTGGGTTCTTCTTCTTCGCTTGATCCGTTTCTTGTGAAAGGATGCCTCTCTCTTCGCCTAATCCTACCAGCGGTCTTGTTATAAGCGACCTGTATATGCAAGACTCCTGGTCAGTACAGCAATTCCGCGTATCCAGCACGACAATTGGCCCTGCTGACCAGCTCAATCCTGCATTCTGGCTTTGTCTTCTCATCATCGTCCTCCTCTTGAATGGTCTGCGCTCGTGCTTCTTCAATCATGTGCTGGGCAAGGAGGTATGGAATCTCCATGGCTCGGAGCAGCAGCGCACAATGTGCATGTACTGCATGTACCTCATCGTGACGGGCGTTGCACTGGTCTTGCAGCTACTCAGCACCTCCAGTGCCTGCACTTAGCACTTAGACATTGCACCTGCGAAACGGATATTTGTGGCTGCTGAATTGATCGTGATGCTCTATCTAACAGAGCTTCTTTACCGTAAGGTCAGGAGTGCTCAAGGGCCAGCAACGGTATTGACGATTTCGGACTGAATGAACTCCCCTGAATGCTTATACCGACACATCAGGTGAAAGAATGCGCTACCGGATGGTTGCACACCACATATTCATCATTTTCATTATAGTGTACCTCAGCACCATGCTCCATCACACGTGAGTATGTGCGAGACAGGCCGGGCTGGCGGCTTCTTCTCTATGTTCATGTCTCATGATTGTACAACCCCGTCCGACAGTCAAAACCCATCATACCTGCTCACGTGCCTGACCTTGACGTTTCAGGCGACAACAGAGCAGCTCACATTTGCATCACTACTTGCTTATCGTCTAGCAGCACAATGTCGTTCGCGTTGTGCTCGCTTTCTCCGCTATCCAATCTCTTCTGTGCAAGCTTGCCAGCATTATCGTCGCCATCTTCATCTGGGTAAAATGGCAGCGAGCAGAGAGTCAAATATCGACAAGTTTCGTATGAGCTGGTCAATCATATTTTGGCTATTCAGTGTGCAGCTTGTCGCGGACTAGGTCATTCAGGCATACAATCTTCTTCTTGTTGCCAAGAACATGAAATCGCCGTGTCAGATCGCCTCGAACGGCGCGGTATCGGAACAGAAGTCAGCATCGACACAGTCACTTTCAGATCCCAAGCGCGGTATGTCGAGGCCAGCTAGAGCCGCAAATGGCAGCGTTGCATTCACCATGGAGGAGAAATCTCGGCGCGAGAAGGTCTTCTTGGAACAAGAGATGCAAGAGCCGGTCTTGAGGCGTTCGGGGAGTACGGGCAACAGTTATCGTCCGACACGCTTTCGTTTGAATTCGGCGACTTCGCAGTCACACTTACAACCTCAGTTTCACTCGCACCTGCATTTCCCCCTGCCGCACATCTTAAGTTCCAAAATGCATAAATATGGCTCGAGCACATCGACGGCCTCGTTTGTGACATCTGTTGGAAGCGCAGCTTCTTTCGAACGACCTCAGCTGTCATCAGCACTCGCACGTTTCGTGCACCCGGAAGAACCTCGTCCTGCTTTCCATCTCTAAAGAGAATGATCCGCTTGCAAGTGGTTCTGCAAGAGTACAGCATGGAAATGTGCGCTCGACATCTGCAGTCTCCTTCGTGCAAATACCATCAGCAGCACAGCGAAAGCCATTTCCACCATCACCCGCACCAGTCAAGATTGTATACCAGGGCTATATCGGCATCAAGAGAGCAGACTACCGGTCACATCCTTCTGGAGCTTCAATCACAACATCTTCCGAGGCGTCAGTATCAACAAAAGTACCACAATTGGCATTTCACCCACCCCCTCATTCATCACCCGCCTGTTAGCACACCCCGTTCATTCACGACTCGCAATGCAGCAAAGGGCAAGGCTCAATTTCTATCGAAGTCCGCGTCGTCAGGGTCGGCTCATCCCCGCATGCAGCACAGTCGCGCTAGTTCATAACCTAGCTTACGATGCATCGTCTCTGGATATTCCGATGTTCCCCCCACATCAACCGGCAAAACAGCATGGGTTCCATGAAGGAGAGCATCCCCCTTCAAATCTTGTGTTTGTTGTACTTTCATCAATGCCCTCAAGGTAAATATCTGTACAATTACCCAAAAATAATACACCATGCGCTCCTACTGCTCGTCTGTGCAGCTCTTCAACCACTGCACCTACCCAAGCCGAAAATATCTCGTGCCTAAACACAATTTTCTTGCTGCCAGACCGCGTGGACATCTAACAGCCAAAGGCCACCCAGAAGCATCGCAACCGTAAAGGGTGGCGTGATAAGTGTTGCTACCGCTTACTATCTCATGCAGCTCACCTCTGCCCATCTTGACACGAAGCAATGGTCACCAACATCGAGTCGAACTGATCAGCTTCAGGTGCAAGCGGCAAAGCAGGAGGTTTCCCTTCTGACAAACTGTGGTTCTTCGGGGGAAGCATGTGTAACGTAGCCCAGCTGAACTACAAGCCGCATCTCCTATTAGCGAAAAAGTAGCAATATGGATTTGGGCTGGTTGATGTGCTCGGGCTTGTTGTCAATCATTGTCAATGGCGGTGATACCGACAGTACGGCCCGCTTCGGAAGCGGTGTGTTCCAGATACCGTGACCTGCCAACGCACTGCATCATCCTTCAATCATCCTCTGTAGTCGCGCCACAAGCGCTTTTCGCTTCCATGCAAGTGTAACGAAAGCGAACGTTTTCTTCGACACTCAGCGTCACCAATGCCCCCGAGCGCTTCGTGCGCTCGGATGGCACAATCTACGTGGCGGGCGAGAACATAGGCCCGATGTCGCCGCCAAATGGCACAGCTGATGTGCTTGCGGCAGAGCACGGTAGCGCAGAGATTCAGAAGCTGCTGAATGTGGTCAAGTATATCTGTTCAAGACTCGAAGTTACAGCTTCTTTCCAAGAGGTCTTTGACGGTCATGGAGAGGGAAGAGCAAGGCAGCAAGAGTGCTTACAACGCAGTTGTGTTACTGACTAGTAGGACCTGATGGCAAGCCCATCTTTGGGTCTTTAGCAGACTCGTCGCAAAGACAAAGGGCGGCCTTTGCAGCCCACTGAACAGGTTGCGACATCGATGATCTTTAATTGAAGGAAATACAGCGATGGTGGGAGGCATCCTTATAGAGCACCGCACAGCTATTGCAATCAAACGTAGTTCGTCGCATCAAACCCTGGGCGCCGCCACGCGCCATTCCTTATACACGTGGCTTGGCCGCCCAGCCGACGCGAGCCGGCTCCGCCTCTGGAGCTGTCGGCCGGCTAGCAGAAGACCAAGTGCGCTTGATCGCTCCCGCTCGGCCATAGTTCGCTTAAGCGTCTTTTTAAGCTCGAACCACTCTATCTTTTGAGTTGCTGCATTCATCGCCCAGCCCGGGTTCGTGGTCGTAGCGGTGACGAAGCGCAGGCTCATGGCACGTGTCGCGTCGAAGCTCGGGAAGTACGCAGGCTGCGGGCAGGGCGTGCCGCACAAACATGTTCTGGCAAGGGTACTTTAATCTCTGCTACACAATCCTCAAACGCGGAGCCGACGCATACCAGTTGGCCCGCTAAAGAATTTCGATGGAGAATAAGGACGCCGGATGACCGATGAGAAGCGATCAAGAACTGATTTGAGGACTGGAGAGTCATGGTGGATGGTGGCAGAATTCACCAGTAACGTGCTACGTACGCGTGCGTTCTAAACGAGTCACGTGACATATCGTCACGCGTCTCAGTTGAGAGACTTCAAATCGACCACGTACATTTCATAACTCAGCATTACCACTCGGAGAATTACACAAAGGTCTCCCAGATCAAGGCTTCCCTCGCTGCTTGCTGCATCAATTCATCTCAGCTGTGTCGGCCAGTTGACCCATCATATTAAGTTGATGGTGGGCTCTTCGGGTGGCAGCTGTCGCGAGTCGTCAGGGAAAGCCAGGCAGGGTGGGTGCGCCGTGCTGCGTCCATAAGATCCACCTAATGGTCCTCTTATCCACAGCAAAGCAGGCCGGAACTGACTAGGATGCCAGACAACAACGCAGGCCAGAATGGGAAGGCTGGAGAGGAAGAGGAAGAGGAGATGGAGTTCGAACAAGTCGAGATCCCTGAACAGGCACGCGCGCCCGCTTCAACCAAGGCTGCGCAGTTTTCCGCCACCATGAAAGCGGAAGATGAAGAGGAGATGGAAGCGGTCGGAGTAGATTACGAGAATGATGAGATGGTGGAAGTTGGCGAGAATAGCGATGGTGAAGATATCTTGGCCGAAGTGGATGAAGACGGTGATGATGATGAGGCCGACGAAGCCGCAGCTGCGTATGCAAATCTGTACGGAGAGGATGGTGCTGCACCCAAATCCACGAAATCCAAGCACCCTGCCTCGGCAAACAGCAACAGGTCCAAGGTCCAAGGCAAGAACGCAGCTCTGCGCGTTTATTTTGATGGGAAAGGGCAACATGCGGGCGTGACCATCTCCCTCGATTATCAGTCGTCGCTGCAGCGCAAACGGAAACGAGAAGCGGATGCTGAAGAGGAGCGAAGACGTCAGAGACGGGAGAACATGATCACACCGCGTGATAGGCAGAACCGCATCGTCGCGCACAAGCTGCATGTACTCGCCCTGCTTGCATGGGCGAAGGGACGGAATGCTATGTTACAAGACGATGAGCTGCAGGTGCGTCTGCTGGGCACATGCGAAATGCATCACCGGAAGCTCACTGCTGACTGTTCGGCTGTTGTTGACCGATGGACCAGGCTTGGCTCAGCGATCAAGCCCCCAAAAACTTGATAGAAAAACAAAAACGCATCACACCGCGCAAAGAGCCGAATCAACGAGAGCGTGTGCGCCTCTTCGAATCCTTCCTCACCCAACTGACGGAATGGTGGAAGGGACAGTTCAGGCTAGATTCCACCATGGTCGCCGGCGCAGCAATCCGTCAACCAGATATTGATCTAGTCAATGGGTCTGGTATCACCTTTGGCAAGACCGGTAGAAGAGTTGATGGCTGGGTCTATGAAAGTGCTGCGCAGAGAGTAGATAGGCAAAAGGGGGAGAAGGAAGCCACGCAGAAATGGCAGGATAGGCAAGCGAAGAGCATCAAGGGGAAAGGGAAGGCCAATGATGATCCGAAGGGCAAAGGCAAGCAGGAAGCTAAAAGCTCAAGTGGTCAAGGGGGCCAGGGAGATGGAGCGAAGCCACTGGAGAAGACGCCCGAAATCTCGATCTTTCCACCTGGCGCCGTTTCACACACCAAGCTACCCGCTTATTTGCGCCTCGCCAAGCCCGTCGAGAGAATATCCAATGCTTCCGATCTCTTGGACCGTGCGATGGAGATGCGCGGCTCGCGCGAGACAAGCGCCTCGCTCTTCGCAGGCCTGTGTCGCGCGCTGGGCATTCCCGCTCGACTCGTCATCAGTCCACAGGTGCCACCGTGGAGCGTCGCGGCTGCAAAGGTATCCAAGAGTGGAGGAAACGCGGTCGGTGACATGAGCACGAATGCTGGCGGCACTGCGAGCGCAACAGCTAACGCGAGCACCGCGGCGAAGGTGCGAAAGCCGGGTAGCGAGGCAATGCGCCGCCTGCCGTCGGATGAAGCGACGAGCGACGACGACAAACAAGCCGCCACCTACTTGAGGGCAGACGAAGATGCCAGCAGCGCTTCGAAGATCCGCGCGAAAGGTAGCGTCTCGACAAGAATTCCTCAAGTCGCAAACGGGGCGAATGTCGCCAGCAGTGGGAGTTGCGCGCTTGCGACAACGACCCTTTCGCATCAATTCCTTGGTGGTGTTCGTAGCGCAACTGCGCGTGCGGCAGAGAAGGCTCAGGATGCGGCCACACATACTCATGGGACGATATATCGAGTTAACGCTAAAGGCAAGGGAAAAGGTAGAGTCGACGGTGCGGACAAAAACGGAAGCGATAGCGTGTCGGTCATCTCGCTCAGCGACAGCAGGGCCAGTTCGGTCGATGTGGTCTGGAATGGTGCAGGACTTTCTGCCAAACCAGGAGCCAAGACCAGCGTCAAACGCAGTACCGAAAGCGGAAGCGGTCGATTATTCGACGACGAGGATGACGAAAAGAGCGTGATCACTGTTCATTCAGACGCGTCTTCCGCTGCGATTAAGGCTCGAAGAAAGGGAAAGGGAACGAGTGGGGCGGCTGTCCTTAAGGAAGGCAAAGCAAGGCAGGCCGATGCTGAAGCCGAAGAGAACGACTACCGGGACGAAAAGTGGCGAGGACTCACGGCGCCGTTGAAAGTCACGCCCACCGTGAAGCTGCGCCCGCACAGCCGACGACACGCCAAAACAGGGCATGTGGTGGCGGAAGGGGATGGCGAGCTAGAGCCGGTAAACTTGCAATACCCGCCTACCGTCTGGGTGGAGGCTTTCTCCAAGCCATTTCAGAAGTGGCTCACCGTCGATCCGATCCGCGGCTTTGTATTTGCCACCGGCAACAGGTACATGGAGCCCGTTGCCGCAGACCGGCAGAACAAGCTCGTGTACGTCGTGGCCTACGAGGAAGACGGCTACGCGCGCGATGTGACCGCTCGGTACACCCGGACGCTTCACAGCCGCATCGCACGTATGCGTCCGCCGCCGAGCAAGGCCCATGGCGATTGGTGGGAAAGCGTCGTCCGGGCGATCTCGAGGCCTTTCAAGCTTGATCGTGACGCAGTCGAGGATGTGGAACTGGAAGACAACGCAAGTAAAGAGCCGATGCCTTCCAGTGTGGCAGGCTTTAAGGACCATCCGGTCTACGTGATTGAGAAGCACCTAAAGCGAGACGAGGTGATCTTTCCTCCCACTAGCGCCGGTACATTCCAGAATACGCCAGTGTACCTCCGCTCCAACGTGCTTACTTGCCGCTCTGCGCGCCAGTGGATGAACGAAGGTCGCGTTATCAAGGAAAACGAGCAGCCTTTGAAGCTGGTCAAGTCTAGGGCGTACACCATCGGTAATAAGCGAGTTGAAGAGCAAGCTAGAGCACAAGGACAGCAGCTACCACAAGAAGGTCTCTATGCGCGTTTCCAGACCAAGATCTACAGGCCTCCTCCAATAGTCGACGGCAAGATTCCTACGAACTCGTTTGGCAACATCGACTTGTACGTCCCGAGCATGCTTCCAAAGGGCGCTGCGCACATTCCATTCAACGGATCGGCTAAAGTTGCCAAAAAGCTGGGCATTCCGTTTGCCGAGGCTGTTGTTGGTTTTGAATTTCGCAAATTCAAGGGCATGCCGAAAATGGGCGGCATCGTCGTTCTGGTAGAGCACGAGGAGGCTGTTCTAGATGTGAGTGCAATGGAGGCGAAATTTGGCGCTTGAAAGTGCAAGCTGCTTACATTGACTCGTTTTTCTAGGCATTCTGGGCATCCGAACATGCAAATGTCGAGCGTGAAGCCAAGAAGCGAGAGGAGCGAGCGCTTAGGAATTGGCGCCGGCTCATCAATGCGGTCAAGATTGCCGAGCGCGTTAATGCTGAATACGGCAGCGGTGATGGCAAGAAGAGATCAACAAGTACACAGCCCGAAGTCAGTCGTCTACGAATTCTGGACAACGACAATGCAGCAGAAATCCCCCAGGTACAAGCAGGTGGTTTCATTGTGGACGATGATGAGACGGCACCTGGAGGCTTTGTGGTCGATGAGAGTAGTGCGGAGGATAGAGAAGCGCAGAAGAATGGAGAGTCAGCTCGGACACCATCGGTTGTACCGAGCAAGTATGGTGGTAGCTGGAACAAACTCGGTGGCTGCTTCCAAGTTGGAGTACAAAATCGACTTGCAAAAGGGGTTCCGTCGGAAGAGGAGCTATCTGAGCCAGAATCGCCAGTCGCGCCTGACGAAGGCGAGCACATGCTCGCCCAGCGTTCTTCCCGCCGCGCCAAACGTGGAAAGATAGTATCCCTCGCCGAGATGATCTCCTCAGAGCAAGCAAAGGCGGAACCACCGAAGCCTGCCACTGCAGATTCAAAGGCGGGCCGGCAGAATGGGTGCAGGCGGAGTGCTAGGCGCATGCGCAGTCCAGAAGACGTGACCTTAGCTCAGCCTAGTGAACCGATACCCAAGCGCTTACGAAGAAGTCGTCCGAATGGCACCAGGGCTGTGGCAAACGTGACATCATATGCCTCAGCGGCTCCTCGCAGATTGTCACGTAGATCGGACGCCGCTGCCAAGAACGCTCAAAAGCTTGAAGAGTCCAGACGGGCCGAGGAAGAACTGGACGCGATGCTAGACCACATGGAATAGAATATCTCAGCCAATGCACTCTGGAATGCACTATTCACGCAAAGCAAACAACTGACTTCGGCATTGTGCAAAGTTAGTCGGTTCTGGAGTCAAAGTACATGAGGTCATATGAATTGCGACGGCCCTCAGATGCAAGAAAAGAGGCGCAATGAACGAAAATGTACGTTGGTGGGGCATGGTCGTGAAACGAGATAGTGTCACAACTGTGTGTATATATGAGATTGCTATGCTTGCTATGCTGGAAGGGATCGGATTTGCGTTATGCGGAGGTGCGGGTGTCAGGCGTGCATGTACTTGTTGACAGGTAAAAAGGGGGAGAGCAGGCGTGGAAGCAGTGTGATGTAGGTAATTGCGAAAGGGGGAAATGGGTCGCGTGTCGTGTTTCAAGTGATAGGTGAGAAGGTTGACTGACCCTGAAAATATCTGTCTTGCGTTGAAACGGAGCGAGATGCGAAACGTGATCGATGATGTAACGTGTACCTTTTGATGCATGCGCATGTGTTGGATTAATGACAGATGGGCAAAAGTCGCGCAGCTGCTTTTGAGCAAGCCTCTAGAGGCGAGCGGGGCGAGCGAATTGAGGAAGGACGTCACATGTGGTATACACCTGGTAGTAGGCAGTTTCTTGAATTTTCTTCATCCTCCTGATCTTGCTCAGGGCTCGTATTCCGGTCTCCGCTGGTCGCCGCAGCCGTCTTTTCGCGATCCTCGAACTTGTCGAAAATCTCGAGCATTTCGCGCCCTACGGATGGTTCCAGCTCTGTGCCATCACGGGAAACCTTGACTTGACGGTTGTCGCGCCAAGGGTTGCGCAGCTTGCGCGTGACGTAGAAGGGAACATGCCTGACTTGAATCCATTCCACCTTGAACGGCCTTCCGATCGCTTGTGCAGGCCGACTTGGCAGGCCCTCCGCGCCTGCTTCGAGCATGTACTCCAGCTCCGAGGCTTTCTGTGAGCTCTCGCGCTCGTCGAGACGAAGGTTGTGGATGAGAGCGCGTACGGCCAGCTGCTGCAGATCGCGCGCTGTGCTGGCCATCGAGACGGAGTCGGCAGGGTAGATCGATCCCCCGCTGATGCTCCCGCACTCACTGCCTGGCAGCTGCTCGCCGAGCATGTCCTTGCAGGAAATGCCGCCGACATCCGGTGACAGCAAGCGCCTATTGCTCTCTGGTACCGATGTGGAAGCTGAAGAGCCTCCTGCACCAGGAGCCCAGCTGAGCGGCATCTCCTCCTCATTGAGCTTAGTGATGTCGTTCGGCGATGCAATCGGCTGCAGTTCTGAGCTGGTGCGATCACCAAGCGCGCTAAGAAAGCTGGTGGGAGCGAAGCGAGACTTGATCTGATCGCCTTGCGCGTCGGTACCTTCTTCGAAGATCGTCTTGGGGCGATTCGGATGCCCTCCGCGCTTGCTCATCAACGGACTGTGCTCAAGCTTCGGGGTGGATGGGTGAGGCTTGATGGGACCCATCATGCGTGCGACGCCAAACCAGCCTCCGGATTGGTTGGCGCTGAAGAAGAGATAGACGGATTGGCTGTTACGGAAAGCTCGGTCGAGCACGTCCTCGTTGTGCAGCTGTGTCGCCCAAATGCCTTTCTCGACGGAGCGCTGTAGTTCTTCGACTTGATGGCTTTTGAGGACAAAAAAGCGCTCCTTGAATGCCGGATGACGAAGCAGCGACGAGTTAGTTGAAGTATACGATAGGGACCCGCTGGAAACGCTTGGAGATCCGGACGACCCGTCGTAAGCGAGAGCCGGTGGCTCAGCCTGTGACACACCTGGCAGCCGTGCATCTGCCGGAAGCTGGCGAGGCGTCCCGCCCGTCGACTCGGACCTTGGGCTACCTGGCTCGCTCCGCTTCATATTCGAATCCTCTAAGTTCAGACTGGTCACGGACCCGGCCAGGGTTACTTCAATGGCTGTGTTTTCCCCAGCAGCTGTCCCTTGCCCTTGTCCTAGCCGGACATCTTCCTTACGCCTCTTCTCGTGCTCCTTGATATATGCGATATGAAACCCCTTCCCACGCTGCCCAGCAACACCCGCCTGCACCTCCTCGTCTTTCCTGCGTACGCGGCAGACGAGCCGCGGACAGTGCGGATCCAAAGGCCGCAGCGCCTGGCCAGCGAAGAAGGCCACGGCGCGCTGCAGCACCTCAGCATCCTTGTAGTTGACGAATGCGCAGTTCGAGCGCGAGATGATGAAGATGGAGAGAATGCCATGCGGAGGCGCGGCGGCACCTGGGTCGGCGACCTCTGCGCCGGCGATGGCGGCTTGCTGCGGCAGCGCCGCGGGCAGACCAGCGGGCTTTGCTGGTGGAGTTGTACCGCTCTCAGCCGGTGGCAGGCGACCGAAGAATTGCCACAGCTCCGGGATCGTGGCGTCGGTGGGAATGTTGCCGACCCACATGACGTGGTCCGATCGCTGCGGCTGCGAGTTGGGGTCTTGTAGCCGGCTCGGCGGACGAGGAAGATGCGGGGCGATCGCAGCAGACTCAGCTGGCATTCCCGAAAGGTGCGGCGCATGCAACGGTGAGTGTTGTGACGAGGAGGAGGTTGATGTTGAGAGCGGCTGGACGCCTTCGGCGATCGTCGGAGGACTGTCAATTGGGCTGCTTGCCGGGTCTGTGATCGGCTTGTTGCCCGAGGCGGAAGTGGCGGAGGATTGGCGAGGTCGCATGCGTAGACTGTGCAACGAGCCCAAGTTCTGCGTCAAAACGAGGGATAACGTGCAAGGGGTTATCAGTGATCGTTGCTCCCACATACAGGAAAGGTCCAGCTTGCGCACTCACCGGACCGCCTCTCGAAGTAGAACTTTGACCTCTACCCCTACCAGTCCCCCACAGCTGACGGGGCGGCGGACGCGCAAGGACGCTGCCCATGGCGCCGGGCGCAAAGCCAACGGTGCCCATGCCGAACCCATTCGGCGTATGCACGTGAAACGCGCTAGCGGCCATGCACGGCATGCCTGGGGCTCCTCTGGCTGCTGCTGCCGCCGCGGCGGCGAGGCCGGGTGCGTGTACGAGAAACCCTGGCGGCGCTACTGGTAACCCGTCGTAGCCCGGTGCGTATGCCTGCATGGATGGAGAAGAAGTATTCCAGGGGTACAAAGGGATATACGAAAGCATGCCGGGCGCTAGTGAGTCGAGATGCAAGATGGGAGGCATGGGGGGATGGAGTCCTTGTGTAATGATCATGATGACTTACGCTGTACTGGAAATAGGCAGGAGCCTCCATGCCCTCCCGAGAGGAAGTGGAGCATCTTGCAGCACCGCCTGCTGCCTGTTGCTGTGACGCTGATCCATCATCCTGCACGCTGTTCAGGCTTTCCGCCGTTCCTTCGTACCCTACCCCGGGCATCCCAGGCTGGAATGGATAGCCGTACATGTACCCGACAAATGGCGCGCCAACTGCTTGATCCGGAGCGGCAGCGTGTGTAGCTCCGGCCAGACGCCCATAGACGTCGTAGTATGTCTCTTGCATGGCTCCCGCAGAACCATGGGAGCCTTGCCGTTGTGCTGCTCCGCCTCCTACGCCTCCATTTGTGCCAGCCCCGCTGATCAGTGGAGACACAGGGTATTGGTGGTACGAGAACATGCCAGCGGAGGCGTTGCCAAACGCCGATTCGGCTTGCATGCGAGAGCCTGCGTACGGATATCCAGTATAGTGATGATGTTCCTGCTGTTGGTGGTGGTGAGCTGCGTCTAGCGAGGTCCACATGTAAGGAGCGTAGCCCACACCTCCAAAATTGACTTCAGATTGTCAGTGTGAAAGTAGGGGAAAAGATTAAGCGTCGGATCTTGAGTGCACCCTTTGTGCAATCTATCTGCACATACCTCCGGCCTGCAGCTCCTCCTCACGTGAACTGGGTTGCGCAGCACCAGCGCTCGGAAGACACAAAGAGTCATCCATCTTGGTAGAGGGCTTACGCCAGCAGTGAATGTCGCTAGCTGGCAGCTAAGAAGCGAGCTGCTTGCGGCTCACTGTCTGGTATTCTAAGTGTTCTGTAGCCGCAAAGGACCTGGCACGTTCAGAAGACATGCAACATGGACTGAAGCATGAAACGCTCAGACCGAATGAGGTCCAGCCGGATTCTGTAAAGTGAAAAGGACGAGGGTGGCAAGAGAAATGTCAATACTCTAACCATGGGATGCGATTCGCAGTATGCCGATATCACCCGTTTCTACGAACCGTGGCAACGACTGCGATGCCACTGTCGCCTGACTCGCACATTCGTCATGTCGACTCTGTATTGATGCTATGATGCACTCACCAAGAAAGGGAGCCCAATACTTGTTGCCTTTCTGTTCCCGAACAGTGCAAATGGCGAGATGGAACGGCAAATACCTTGCTAGCAACTCCGCCAGCGCTTTTCAACAAAAATGCGGCACTGAACGCTTCCTGTCTGTGTAGATGGTAACGAAAAACTGACAGCTTAAATGCACAAGGAGCTGTTGAAATTGGCTGGAGTGCAATTCGGAAGGCTGACCTTGGGAGTATCAACTGGAAGAAAGTGCACACTCTGAACAGAGAGAGTGGTGACACTTGCCACGCGTTCGAACACGCTGGAATGCCGGTCTTCGCGAGCAAGCAGGGTTCCTCTTTTGATCTTGGGTGTGTTCACTGTGGAACTGCGGATGATTACCTTCGGTGGGTGGCGATTCAAGCGGACCTTGAATCTTCTCCTTTGCCCGAAGTCGAAAGTGCGAAAGACCTTTGTGTTTGGTTGGCCCTTCGTTCCCATGACCATGCGGAGCTATCGCAAACAAGGATGTGGTAGAATATACTCGCAATGAGAGTATAGAGCAGATGATGTTGAGGCGTCGCTCGTGAGGAGCTCCTGAGTTTGGGGATTATGACCAAGATGCCAGCCGCAGTGCTCGGCGACGGACCTGGGGAAAGCGGTAGCAATCCATCCGTGTAAGCTGCTCGAAGGGAACAGTGCTCTCTGGGTAGCGGTCCTTCGCACTGATGAGTCAGTCACACCCACCAACCAAAGTTCGGTTGCAGACATTCTGCTCAGGATCTCTCGCCAACGCCGGCGATGACGTCACAGTGCATTTTGCTGCTGCTGATATAGAATCATCTCGATCGCTTCTTGGTTCGTCGGTACTCTAGGCGTTGGGCACTGCATCAGCGCGCGTGACACCTGGCCTGTGAAAAGTGCATGAAGCCGCGGATTAATGACACTCATCGAAACCTTGGGAAAAAGAAAGTGCCCCAGTTCCGCACTAACCGTTTTTTGGTGCGCTCCTTTGCGAACTCCAGCACCACGCGACTGCCCATGTCAATTTAAATAGGGCCCATATGCAACCCTAATAAATGAAACTGGAACCAACGCTTCAGCGTCATTTTTTACTTATCTGGCTCGCCGCAAGCCGCAAATTCATTCAACACGACAACCCACCAATGACTGTGTTCCCTCTATTAATACTCCCGCAGCTAGACTTGGCAGCTGACAGCGCCTAAACCCCAAGCGGAGAGGCGAAATCTTGCCAGTACTTCCACGGTTTACTTGTCCTTCTTGGGAGAGAACGGGGGACAGTGGTGCGGCCGTTGGCAGCAGGTGTCGCAACCCGGCTGTGGGCGCAGCGCTGGGAGACTAATGTAAAATCTGAGATGCGTGCCTGCATTCTTAATTAAAGAACGAATTCGAGTGTTCCAGGCTGAGGGCTGTGGCGACTGGACGTCAGAAAAAAAAAGAAAGCAGTTCCAAAAATATGACATCATGCTCAGAGTTACCTTTGATATAACTAGTAGTGCCACTCTCGATCACACTACGTCACTCCAAGGCACTGAGCGCGACAGTGAGCGTTTCGTCCGTCTAAGCGGGGTCCTCGGTTGCGGCTTCCATCGGATACATACATGGTTTCAGCCCTGGTCGCGAACTCGGAGGCTGGTTGCGCTGGTCAGAATTCCGAGCGTCGCACCGCAGAGAGGACGAGCGACGAGCGAGCAGTTCGACTTATGTCCAACATACACACCAGTAATTAAAAGGCGCGAAAGGCACGCGATGGAGGCTGTGGCAGTGTTTGGAGAGTCCAAGTAGCAGATATGGAGGCATGTACCGTCTGTTCGTTCTAGTTTTCTGAACAATCGTCATAGTCACTCTCTCGCATTGCCATAGCCGCTGTGCGCTGACGGGTGCTAGGATAGGCGGAAATTCGAGTGCAACTCGGCGATCCGAGCCTGCTACGTGCTACGAGTTGCGAGGGGTTTCGGTCGAATGGAGCGGCTTGCATGTACCACGTAGAAACAGCCCGAGCCTTTCAATGGATTGCACAAGTCGAGGTTCAAAAATGCACTGCATAGACAGCAAGCCCCGTCCGTCTAGTCGCCGAGGGGAATGCCATGCTCCGTGGTGCATAATGAATGATGACGGTCTGTGTCCTCCACGATTTGTCGCTCGGCTGGAAACAGGAGAAGTTGCGATGCGATTTAAACAAATGCTCATCGAATGCATGTGTCCTGTTGAACAGGCCCTGAATATAAATGGAACACAACGTTAATCCTTCAACATTTGTCGATCTGCCATCCATTTGGAAACCAGTCTAATATTTATTTTAGCACAATTCACATCTCCAACCGCTCAAAGAAAGCACCCATGAAATCAACAACCTCATCTTTCTCGGCGCCGCGGCTGCACCCCTGGTCGATGCACAAGGTGAGAGAAGCAGCGTCACTGCTTGTGCTCACACCGACCAGCGCCGAAAAATATTCATCTCTCTCGCTGGAACGCCATACATCACTGCGGCCCATGCGTTCCATTCTACCACGCGACATAAACAGGCTCTGACATAGGGGCCCCCCGGGCGCAATCCCCACAGACCTCGACAGCGCGGCCGCGTCATTCGGTAGTTCAATCGCTAGTGGTGCACAGAGCGGAGTGTCGGGGGCACTTTCAGACCCTTCTAGTGTCGGTCAGGGTGAGCGAGCAGCGTGTGGGAGAAAGATGAGGATATATCTGCGCGATTGACGCCCCATTTACCCCGCAACGTACAGCCGCAGCATCGAGCGCTTCGTCCGTCGCCTCGGTTGCGGCGAGCGGCGCTTCCTCCATCGCAGCCACTGTGACCATGGGCGCCGGATCGGCAGCATCGAGCGCCAGCTCGCAGTCTGCCAGCCAGACGACTAACTTCAATGCCGCAGCACCAAGCACGCTCGAAGGCCAGATGCGCGCGCTCTGGGCCGGCGCGACGGTCCTCGCCTTTGCAGCGTCTGTTGGCGCGTACATCCTGTAAAGCCGCCTGGATTGTTGTCAGATCGCGCAATGCTTGACGCGAATCTGTAGCTATATGCGCACGTAATCATCGGCCCCTTCGAATAGTTCGGTTTGTACATTGCCTTGTGAGCAATGAGCGAGACGAGTGAGGTCGATTGGCGTTGCAGCTGTGTGAGGCCCATTGGCGTTGCGGCCTAGTGGTAAAGATTTACTCTGCTCCCGAGGCTTCAGTTTGCATAGTTGCGTCTGCCATCGCATCGGCTGCTAGCCAAGGAGTTCAAAAATGTGTCAGCAGAGAGCCTTTGCGCCAAGGCCAGAAGAAGGCTTGTGACACAGCTACGAACTCCATGGCCTCTTGCACATCGGACACATTGTGTGGTTCTGAAGCCACTCGACGATACAGTGAAGGTGAAAGATGTGCGAGCAGGTGCCATGTACTGCACATGAAAAGAAGAGGCACATATAATTAATAATCCATCCTTACGCAGACGGGTGCAACTGAACAATATCAGGCTCACAAAGCGGACAGCTCTCGCCTGGGACTTTGCATTTGGCGCAGGTCGCATCGAAGTTGTTCTGGCAGATACCGCAGACATCATCTGGGTCCTTCACGTCCCAGACTAGGTGGCGTGCAGAGCAGTGCGACATAAATAAAGAAGATTAACGCAATCAGTCTGCATTGCGCAGGCCATAGCATGTAGAGCGAGTAACGCGTATGCAACACCACAACTCACTCCAGTAGCCAATTGCGCGCCACGACTTGACTTCGACCTTCATTGTCTCGTACCCGCTGGCTCTCCCGCAGGATAAATGCTACGCTCGTTGGTGACGTCGGCGTTGGAGACTGGTGCACACATATGACCGCGCTTCGATTCCGATTGAAGATGAGGTTGAACCTGGGACCAATGGCCGATGTGCGAAAGACGAAGATGGCGAGAGCAACACTTTTGACACCCCCGCATCTTTTTGTGACTTCGCGCGTTGCCAACTGCCGCACAGAGGGATGGAACCCATTCCGCCCACGCTGTGGAGATGTGCATGTGAAACACACGAGCAGATTAAGGCCTCATAGGGGGGGGGCAAGGCCTTGATAGAACAGCCGACTCAATATAGGCAAAGATCACTTCATACGTCCAGGTGAACTGTGAAGAGTGGCATCTGATGCGAGCTGCACCTCCACGGCCGCGCTGGCTGACTCTCTCCTTCCTTCGCCTCCCCTGTTCTGCAAGGCCGGCTCATCATGACGCCTGCGAGCTCGGGGGCGTCTTTCCGCATCACCTCGACGCAAGCAGCGCCAAGAGCAGCGCCGGAAACAACGGCTCTACGACCCACATCCTACGTGCTCGTCTCAGAAGCAACGGATGATGATGATTACGATGATGATGACGAACCTTTCGGACGCGACGGAAATAGTGGTGCATTCTCAGAACCACCCGACGGATCCTCAGGGGGCACCCCGGTTCCCCAGCCGCGCTTCTACTTTGTGCTTCCGACGCTCGCCGCGCTCGACATACTGCTCACGGTCGTGATCGGCTTCACCATCATCGAGCAAGAGCGCAAGCCTAGAGGGGGAGATACAGGGGACGCCAACTCGCAGAGGGTCAAGCTCGTCAGCGCACTAATTGCCTGCGCAATCCTGAGGGACTCGGTCATTGCCATTATTGGCTTCAGTAGGAGCATCGCTAAACTCGGCATAACTGTCGCTGCTATCTGCTTGGTACGTAGAGCTATGTTAATGCGCGAGAAATCCCTTTTCTGAGGGATCTCCACTGCACACTATCCAGATGTCCATGCTTTTCATCATTTCGATTCTCAATTTACTCTTCCAAGTACCAGGCGAGAACGATGATCCGACACCCCTCTCCGCAACATCGCCCATATGTATTCAAGCGGCAGCTAACGCACACCCCATGGTTGTGCGGACCTGCACAGCCCCTTCCCTCTCCAGTGCCGCGGGGCGTCTTGCCTCGACGGTCGGGCTAGTGGATTGGACACTGTCGTACAGCCAGAAGCCATCGCTCGCGCTGCTCTGCAGCATCCAGCTTTTCGCGACGTTCGCTCAGTGGATCTCGTACGTTGCCGTCGTCGGCATCCGTGTGCCGCCGGGTGGTAACCCGGTCCGAGCGCAACGCTGGATGCAAGCGCTTGCGCAAGGAGAGATTGATACAAGCCGCTTGAGGGAGACGAGCGTGTACGACCTCGATGTGGACTTTGAGGATGATGATGACACAGATCCGGAAGCGCAGACTGGGCTTCTTAGGAACGAGGAGGAGGCTCAAGAAGGCGACATTGACGATGGTAGCGGGAGAGATGAAGATGCAGATGCGAGTGAAGGGGATGAGGAAGGAGTAGAGGAAGGAGAAGGAGCGACACATGCCGTGCGCTCACACCCGCGTCTCCCAGGCGCACAGCAGCCGGACCGCGGTGCGACGCCCTCTCAATCACCCTCTTCTCGCCTGCGCAAGCCCCTATCAGCCTCCTCCCTGCGATTCCAATCACAAGCGCTTCTATACGCCAGCTCGCCTTCGGCCTCGACGCCACTGCTCGCACGCGTCCCCTTGATGGCTCCTCGACCCGGCCGCCTTGGCGATCGGCACCCGGAAGGCGCAGGCGAAGATGAGGACGAAGACACCGATGTAGACCCGAACGACATTGTCGACATCACCAGCGACAGGCACCTCAGCCGTCAATTCTCACGTGCGCGCCTCGCCCTAGCGGCCGATCCAGAGCGGTACCGCTCCAGCGTCACCACGCGGCCTTTCGCCACGGGTTCTGACACTGGCGCGGGGATCGACTTTCCGTCGATACCCCATCGCAATTCGTCGTTCGCCGATATGAGCACACTGACTTCTACGTCGGCGTCTGGGGCTGCGTCCGTGGCAGGTGGGGGAGGGCGCGCCCTTTCGCGCTCGCCGCGGACGCCCAAGGTTAGTTTTTCGAGATTAGCTGCGCTCGCGCAGGGTGGTAGGGACCGCAGGCGGACGCAGAGCTCTAAATCCGCTCTGCTTTCCGCTCAAGAGGGGTCTCGCGAGGATTTGGGCGCAAGGTAGCGCAGACAACCACCATATTTTCAGCAGAGCACCTGGCATGGAAGCTTTCGACCAGCACCGACATGATACCCTAATCCCACATGTATTTCTACTCAGGCCCTTCTCGAAACTTATGTTGCCTGCAGGGAGGAAGGGTATCAGCTCGACGATGCCCCTGGCGTGCTCGTTGGTGCCTCTGTTCGGTGCTTCTTGACTATTGCATCCGCTTCGAATATGCGCCATATTGGCAGAGCAATCTGGTGGAAGGCGATCAAAAGCATCAGATCATATTCGATCAAGCCTAAGGAAAAAAAGCAAAGGCAAGAGGGAAAGAGAAGATACGTCCCGCACTCACCCTACCGAGCCTGCTCTTGCAAAAATCCATAAAACACCCGTTCCCCGGCGCGACTCCACCCGTCGCGGCTCTGAATAGGTCCGTCTGCCAATCGCTCGTGATGAAGAAGTGACCCTTCTGCACACCCTGCAGCAGGCGCGCCGCGCACACCGCCGGCGTCTGCGGCACATCGCTCTTCTCAATCTCCTTCAGCACATGCGGCTTGGTGAGCTGCTCCGTCTCGAATCCGGGGCTGAGGATCGTCGCGGGGAAGTAACAGTGCACAGTGATGTTGTACAGTAGGAATTCGGAGCGCAGCGTCTCTGCGAGGCCTGGGAGCAGCAGGCAGAGGCAGGATGATGGTCAGCAGAGACGCAAGATGAGATCAAGCACATCTCCTGTTTGGTGTCACACTTCACGTACCACGGATGGCGTACTTCATCGGCGCATACTGCGAATAGCCGACAAGCCCAAAGAGCCCTACGAGTGAAGAGACGAGAACGATCTTACCTTCCACGCCTGCTTCTCTCATGGCGCGTGCAGTAGCCTGTCCACGTTTTCATCTACAGAAGTTCAGCATTGTCCAAAAATGTGGCCACTGCTGGTGTACAGACTATTGACTTACGTGGGTCGAAGCAAGCGCAGTCCAGTAGTCCATCTTGAGGCCCATCTCGAAATCTTGCTCCTCCTGCTCGAGGAAGTGCCCCGGCTTCGCACCGCCCGCACAGCAGAATAGCGTGTCCGGAACCTGGCTGCATTTTTTCACAGCTTGTTTTGCGCCGTTAAATGTGGACACGTCGGCGGATATGTACGCATGCGATTGAGTCTTCGGCGAGGCAGACGCTTTCTAAGGAAGGGGAAATACACAGTTGGGCGTGAGCAAGACTCGTACAATATACAAGCACAAAGGATGGAAGAAGAGGGCGGTTCACCTTGATCTTCTCAAGCGCTTGCTCCAGTTTGTCTACGTTTCGAGCGACGATCGTGACATTTGCACCCTTGGACGCAAGAAGCTCAGCGAGGGCTAAGCCGAGTCCCTGCGACCCTCCTGTTATAAGCACATTCTTCGGAAAGAACAGATGAGGTTAGCTGAAGCTCACTTCCATGCATAGTCACATGGCAACGTATTGGTGCCGATACAAACCTTTCGTTCTGGCATCCACCTCTTCTTGGCACGGGCGTTGAGAAGAGGCATGATGTTCAACACGACTGCGAGGAGGATGCCGAACGCGAGACCGTAGATGAGCGGGTTCCCCTGCTGGGCCGCTCGGACCTTCTCGAGGAGCGGATGGGACATGTCGGGGATTCAAAATGACAACTCGAGGCACGCTGCTGGTTGTAAGCAGCTGCTGATACTTCTTTGCAGGCTGTTCGTCCGATGTCCAGGTTGCAATGTACGGTGTAATAATTGGCCAACTGGAGTCCAAAGCAAGGCCATCATCGGGCTTTGGGGCTTTGAGCCACAAAGCTGATAGTCGGCGACTGGCGATCACTTCGCGTCCCGTTCTCATCTCCCTGCGGTGTGGTGCCCATCCCACCCACAGGGTGCACGTGAGACATTTGCCTGCTTGTATATGTATCAACAAGCACCTTCATTGCAACAGACCATCATCCTGATCGCATCCAGGCTCCAGGTGCTGTCTAAGGATATGGTCTGGACGTACAGCTAGAGCTCCAAGCGCACTATGGATGCGCTTTCACCCGCCAAAGAGAATGACTGGCAGCACCAGCACCAGCGGCAGCGCAGCATGTCGCCCACGAAGATGGCCATCGGATGCTCTCCGTCCAAGGCGAGCCGGATGGTGAAAGAGAGAGGAGGCGAGAAAACAGCAAGCTCTAGCCGGCATCGTCTAGATAGCTCCCCTTCGAAGGGCCACTCCGCCGCTCATTCACGCGACAAGCTGCTGCTGTCTCCCGCGAAAAAAGCAGCGCTGGGCGATAAGAGCAACCACCGTGGCACCCAGAGCCCGTCCAAGCCGCAGGCCTCTGGTGCTGCTGGCGATAACGGCGCTGCGGACGACGACATCGAGAAGGACATCATCAGCAAGAGTCACTCAAAAAATGTGAGCCTGCAGCCTCCGAGGAACATGTCACCTACCAAGTCTAGGTCCAAAAGCGAGGGCAAGTCCAGGGAGAGGCAGCAACAGCAGACTGAGACAGCGGGAAACGAGACGATCGCAGGCCTGTCTGCCTCATTATCACCCCCAGCTTCCAGTGCTCATCTCAATGACGCGAAGGTCATCCTCACTCCGCCATTGGCAAATGATCCGCCAGCATTCATGACACCGGCTGCAAACATCGGAAAAGCGGGCATGGCCAAGTACAGGCGGGGCGAAGCGATGGATGCGGCTATGGGTGTAGGCATGGGTTTGGATGATCCCATAATGGCAGCTGGAGAGATGGGAGCGGCGGCAGGTGTAGATGGAGGAGCTGAAGTGGCGCAAAGCTCCGAGCCAGACATGGTGATGACGGAGGAGGAGCTTTATCCTGAGATCGAATACATGCCGCCGAGTGACTATGCCAAAAGTGAGTTGCCATGCCGTCAGATGTTGTACGCGCGAACTGGACACTCATCTCCTCCCTGCCTCTCGTAGATCCGCCAGTGCACTTCCCACCGATCTTAGACGGCATGCCACGCGCCAGCGAACTGGGTGACATCATGCGCTCTTTGCCCTTCAGCGGCTTCGTCTCGCACGCGCGCGCCGCGCTCGATCCCGTCGAGCGCGATCTCTTCCAGGTCGACATGGAAACCACGATGTCGAGCTTTGACGCGTTCGACAGGGAGCTCGAGCGCAAGCTGGACGAGTACTATGCCAGCTGCACGCTATGGGACAACGACGAGGAAACCGAGTACTTCTTCAGCACGCCGCTATGGGAGCAGCAGCCTAAGGGGCTACGGAACCGAGATGCTCCAGCAAAGTCGAATGTGGCCATCACTGCGGTCGCGCGTTCAAATACACAGAGCACCAAAGGAGGGATCGGCGGTGGGAGAGCTAGTCGCGCACCCTCTGCCATGTCCAATCGCTCTGCCACTGGCAAATCGATCAAGGCTGCTCCCAGTGTGACAGGTGCAGGCAGTGCTAGCAGTGTGAGTGCGAAGAGAGCAGCCACGGTCAACAAGGGCGCTGTGTCAGCACGGGCAACCGCGTTGCGTCCTGGCTCGCGCATCGTTGCCAACGCGAGTACCAGCGTAAACGGCGTGCGCTCCACCGCCGCTGCGACTGCGACTGCATATGCAAGCGTCGCTAGGCGCACGACCAGTACCGGCGCCGGTGCTGCCCCTTCCAAGCAAGCTGCAGCGGCAAGCATGAGTGTAGCTTTGAGCCGAACACTTGGCATTCAGACGCCAAGCTCAATCACTTCCGCCGCGAGAAGTGGGGTGCGACCACCTGGCGTGCTTAGAGCAACGAAGCAGCAGGTGCGCCAGCCTGCGCCCTCGGCTACAAGAGCTGGCCCAGGAGCATCATCGAAGAAGCGTCCACCACCACTATTTGACTGGCGCGCAAATGAGCACGATCGCCTTACCGAATGGACCGAGACGACGCTTGCGCAGATGGAGGCGGAGGTTGATGCCCGCGTGGTGGAGCTGTGAGGCCGACATTCACGGCTTGCGACGCAGCACGCTTTTCTCGCAGATTGTAATACTAGCACTTAGCACCCTTGTCATGCCACTCATGGCAATTTGATCAGCATGTATCCAGGATTTTTCGCAATGATGAACCCGCAATGTAGAAGACAGATGTGCTCATGATCCCATTTCTGCTTCTAGCTCGACGTTACACGTCTCGTCGGCTGCACCTTGACGCCGCTCTCGAGCAGGTGCTTGAGCACAGGGTCGCTGGAGCCCATGGAGCCAGCGAGGAGCTTGGCTGCGTTGCCGAGCACGTCGGAGCTGGGCAACTCGATCTTGTCCGGTACGATAGGGTCCGCTCTAGTGGGGCCGATGTTGACGATCATCACGCGCTTGCGCTCCTCGACAGCCTGTTTGACGAGGCGGAAGGCGCTGTACGTAGCGAGAGAGCTTCCGACAAGCATGAAGCTGTCGCTGGACGCTACGAGCGCGTGCGAGCGGTCGCGCAGCTCGTCTGGAACCGACTCGCCGAAAAAGACCACCGCAGGTTTCAGCACGCCACCGCAAGAAGGACATGGCGGGTACATGAAGGAGGAGTAGTTCGTATCAGCACCGAGCTGCACATCCCCGTCCGGGTTCGTTTTGAGCAGGGTGTTGCTCGCGGCCATCTCGGCGGAAAAATCTGCCCATCGCGGGTTCCAGTCTGTCAGGACATCTTGGAACGCAGCACGCGAGCCGCGGAAGCCGCAGCCAGGGGCGTAGGACGAACCGGTGGATGTGTTGGACCAATGAGATGCGGTGGCACGCGGATTGTGTAGATGCGGGAGCGCTAGACGCGCGTGCATGTCTGGATCGAACAGCGCCGAGGCTGATGATGGGAAGGAGGTTTCGGCGCGTCCGTCACCCCTGTTTGCTCTTGCACTGGTCCCATCCAGTCTGGAAACGCAGACAACATACGCGAGCGTGCCGTGCAGCTCGAGGATCGAAGCCGCAGCTAGCGAGGGCGAGGGGGTGGCAGCGTGATGCAAGCTGTCAACATTTTGGGTGATGAATTCCGGCACGTGTCCAAGGCGCTGCAGCGCTGCTATAGAGTAGTGCGTCTTATTGGGCAGCGCATGGCGCACGGGTGGGAATCCGAGGTAGGATCGGGACCAGTAGCGCTGCCTGTACGTGTGCCCCTTGTCGCTCAGCGCCGTAAATTCGTGAAAGAAGATCGGTCGGTATGTCTTGTGAACTGTGTAATGTCCATTTTCACCCCGATACGGCGCGATGCCAGAGTCGACAGAAACACCTGCTCCTGGCCTTGTCAACCAGGCGGAATGAAAACAAAAGGGTGCCTGTCATGCGTCAACGATGCAGTCTCCCTCCGAGAGCTGCTGACTGAGAATGAGCCTCGACGAAACTCACCGGTCATGATCAAGTTCTTCCGTCGGCCTCTGCGCAGGAACTCAGCGACCATCTCCCCGGCCTGCGGAACGGTGTATTCGATGATAGACCGCGTGTTCCCATTGTGAGGGATGCTTGGGATGGAGATGCGCATCGTGGGATCGATGAGTAGCCCTTACAAACCCAAGGCGCTGAGACGCAAACTCTATGGCAAGCTCTCGCAAGAGTCAACAAGGACCAGGGGTGAGCTTGGCTTTGCGGGATCGCGCTGCGCGAAGCACGGCGCGTATTTCGGTCTTACTCGACACGGCGCATTTGCGTCCTGATCGAGCAGCGCGCGTGCGCCAGCCATGGCCTATGGCGGGCACCGTCCTGCACCATACCAAGCTGTAGATGTGTGGCAGGCTGCTCGCGCTGGACGGTGAAGCGAAGCGCCAGTTTCTCTCATCAGCCTCATGTCGTATGTGTCGGCACTTGGGAGCCATTGGGCATTCGGTGCAACTCGGTATTCGCGGGGAAGTGTGGACGCGTGGACACTGGCGCTGTGCCAACAAAAATTGCACATGAAATGACGTCGTCACTAGTCACGTGGGCTTTCTTGTGAACTTGCGGCTCCCCACAGGACACAAAAGGATGGTAACTGGCACCACGCCCTCCAAATTGCATCGTATCATGACCGTGATCATCGTTATCACAGTCAGACCTTTTATTGCTTGCCTGTTTACGCAAACATCGTCATCTGGGACATGGCTTCGCGGCTCCATGTACCCTGAGGTAGAGGGTAAAGGGAAACTCGCCGGGAGGTCAACAGGCGGGGGCCTGTGCCACCTCTCCAGCAGGTGACCGACGCGCTTTGGAGCTTCTCAGCAGCTTCAAACGGATACCGTCATGCTGGAAAAAAGAGTTACAAAAAGCGGTCGCATCGAGAGTGGCGGAATTCGTTATATCCAGTGAGAATATGTACTACAAATGATACCATGGCAGCCGCTCCTTCCTGTGGCGCGCTGCCTACTTTCCCTTGACATGCGTTCCCCAAATTGCACGCACCTAGCACATTCGCGACCACACGCGCCGGGTATGAAGATGCGCCAGCTGAGGCTGCTGATGTTCCCATTTTTTTCAAGGCATGCGACTGATGGTCCGCTTGGCCTCAAGCGCGCTGGGGTCACCTCCGCGGCTAATGACCTTCTGGATGCGGCGGTCGAGCATGTCCTCGTGCGTTTTGACGTGGAGGTCGTGTTTGCGCTTCTCCTCCTCAAGGAGAAAGTGGTGCGCGACGGGTGCCGGCGGACGGCGCGTGTCAGAGAGGAGGAACGTCTGCATGCCGAAGGCCAGCAGCGTCGCAAGAATGTTTGTCAACGCCGTCAGTGCCGAGTAACGCGGCGGGAAGCACTGGCGCGGGTCAAAGAACGCAGCGCAGACCATGCGCGTCGGCAGGTCGCGCGCCGTGTTCGTCGCCAGGTCGCCCGATGCGAGGCCAACGATCATGGCAAAATATGCGAGGCCGATCATGATCGGCGCGCTCACTGGCGACACGAACGGGTTGCTCGAGTCGAGGTGCGTCGCGATGACCAGACCGATGAGGAAGTCGGCGATGAACTCGGTCGCGAAAATGGCGCCGTAGCTGCGCCCAGGCGTCGGGAAGAGGGCGATGACGCCAGCGGGCCCGGAGGCCGAGTATATGACCGCCTCCTTGCCCTTGGCCGTCAGCTCGGCGGCGATGGCGAGCAGCTCGTCGTGCCAGCACGCGACGACGAGGAAGCCACCGAGGAGGCCGCCGAGCAGCTGGCACATGATGTAGATCGGTATCTTCCACGCGGGGAAGCCCTTGTACAGCCATAGCGAGATTGTCACGCATGGGTTCAGGTGCGAGCCGGACAGCGGCGCGGCGATGATGACGGCGAAGGCGATGCCCAGCGCGTAGCTCAGCGCAACGTTGAGCAGTGAGCCTTGTGGCGAGCCGGCGTAGGTTGTGACAATCAGTGTGGCGAGTGAAAACCCTCCGAAAGAGACGTAAAATCTATTCCAAAAGGGCAGTAGAGTTGTAAGCGATTGAAAGCAGCATTTCGAATGACAATGTGGTCTTCTCTGTTGTGATGGGCGCTCACATGACACCGAGTATTTCACCAACACAAGCGACGAGCAGCTCGGGTCTCCACTGCTCCCATCGCTTCCGGAACTCCATGTCGCTCAACCCGGCAGCAGGCACGACGCTCCTCGGGCTTTCGCGATCCTGCACGATGGACGCGAGGCCGAGTTCCATTTGGCCCGCCTGACGGTGCGGGCGCTGGAACGCATGGTGGTGCTGCTGCTGCTGGTCGTTGGCGACTTCCTGCGCGCCGGAAGAACTCTTTTCGGAGAGCTCTTCGGCGGTGTGGTAGGTGGCATGGATGTTGCTCATCGTGCCTTGCGTGTGGCTCACGGTGATGCTTGCGGCAGAGAGCCTTTGATAGCACGGCGCAGGGTAGGCGCAGGGTAATTTCCATCGGTAAAGCGGAGATCCAAGAGACGCTGGGGAAGTGGGACGGCTATATATATACGTAACACGGCCGAGGAACAGCCCTTCCATGCTCTAGAAGATGGAGAAGCGGACCGCTGGCGCAAGCCTTGGCGGTTCAGGCTCCATCGCTCTTCCCGTTGTTGGCCGTCAGCAATACAGCCCGCGACGGGTCGAGCACGGTCACTCACTCCAATGATCCTTCCAGTTTGTCGAGCGAGGCACGCCACCTGCCAGCCTCGAGGGAACGTCGCCTGATTCGAAGGGGACCGGGGGAGAAGGAGAAGTCGCCCACCGAGGCTTGCAACGGGAAGGTGTGCACAGCATACAGTGCCATCCCGCCATAGAGACAAGACGAGTCTTCAGCAGGTGCCAGGCACGACCACACTCCCTATCACTGGTTTCTTTTTTCTTTTCTTCTGCTTTGGGGTGCAGCAGAGCGGCATTCTGGCGGCACTGCACATATGTAGGAACATACCAATGTGTCCAGCTCGCTGCTTTTTTACCGTTGTGCCTCCTGTTCGCGCTCCTTTGGAGCGTCGAGAGTGATGAACTGATGAGAAATGCGTCTTTGACTGCAGGCCGCATTTCTGGTTCTGTGCCTCTCAGACAGACTCAACACTCGACCAAAAATGACCCAGGCACACATATCTTAGCAATGTCTTTACCTTGTATGTTCCTACATATGTATGTATTGGACGGATATCGTTGCATCGGCGCTCATTGGCCTCTCAGCCGAGAGGCGTGCTTCAAGCAATCGCGTTTGTGTATACTGTATCCCTCCCGCTGCCACTAGATGCAGGCAGGTTGAGAATTATCCGACTGCCTGTCGCCTGCGGTCGGCTGCGTTGACGAGAAGCAGCTCTTTCAGAAAGGAAAAGGCGGAGAGGGATGAGCCCGACAAGTTGCGTCGTTCGGACCGTGTCGCCACGCTCAACCATGCCAGCCACGCCGGCATCGATGGAGATGTGCACATTCAGCCGCAGCTGACCGCGGCCCGCACGATCTCCGCAATCTGCACCCCGCGCTCCAAAGGCGCTAGCGCAGGCGGCAATGGCAAAAGGCCGGAGCTGGGTGTGGTCTACAGGAGAAAGATAGGTTAATGCATTGATTGACTGATTGGCCGCCATCTCCATCACTACAGCAAGGGGGGGAAGGCGGGGGAGGTAAGGAGAGTGCCGCGCAGTGTGCACCCCGTTGTGAGGTAGGCAGCACAGCGCAGGTGCCGGTAATGTGCGATGGGGTAGAGTGTGGGGAGAGAGCGCAGAGTCGGAGCTGCGTGCCAGAGAATGCCGCGACAGCGCACGTCAGTCGAGAGCATGTATGTATACATGTGCAGAAAGTGTCCAGCTGTCTGCCCCTGCGCTCGTTTCACCTTTGAAGGAGTGATGGAACCCCCGCGACGTTGCTCCCCTCTTCGTGTGGGTTACAGCAAGGGAGAGCTCTCACGGTGAGTTCTTTCCCGGTAAACAGCTTTGGGAGGGGAACGATGCTGATATTGCATCACTGCAGCTCGAAAATCGTTCCTAACCCGGATAAATGGGCGCCGCAGACAGTACATTGTTTACTACTCCGCTAGTTGGGTTGCCCTCAGTATAATTATCCGAGGTCTGATCACTGGTGGCTGGATTGAAAGACTAGAGAACACTCGCCTTCTTTCGGGATGGACGTGACGCGAGCCGGGCCGTGTAGCTGGGTGATCGGGGCAGTCTTATTCGGCTAAAGCTTGTGCGCCCGCCATGACCGTCTGCATCGTCGAAGCCGCTGCGACCGGCGGCGCGGCGCTCTTCGCCTTCTTCAATTTGCCCGGCCACCCCGCCACGACGCGCTGATGGAGTGCACGAGAGAGGCAGCTTGCAAGTGCTCACATCGCCGACGACTCGCTCGCGACGCGCGTAACAACGAGCAAACGAGCCACTCGAAAGCGGTTCGCGACTCTTTCAACGACTGGTACCTGCGGGCGTTTGTACTCAAGTACTTGTGCATAACAGGTGCGCAGGCCATCCAGTATTTCACCCCTGAACTGGTTAAGGTGAGCTGAGATGCATCGACTGCCATGCGCATGGCTGTGCGATGACTTACAACCACCCCCCAGTGACTGCAGGGGCTGCGACCGAATGCCGGAATCATAGAAGTCCAATTCTTGACGGCGCCCGTGTATGCGGTGGCGCTTGTCGCCCTCCTCGGCTCTTCGTTCCCGCCCAACCTCCTCAAGGAGTGCCCTCTTCATTTTGCCACGGCGTCGGCGTCAGCGCTCGCGGTTGTCGCCTTCGCGATCCTATACGGCGTTCTCGACAAGGTCGACCGCTATGCCCTGAATTGTTTTGTCGTCCCAGGTGGGTCTACACTGTATGCCCGCTCGTCAGCATCTAAGTTTCCAACTGCAGTGAGATCGGGCGGAATTTACCGTGCGAAAGGGTTGGAGGTGAACTGTATTTCCCTATCGGCAGTCTCATATCCTTCAGAGAAGCGAGACATCTCGCAAGCGGCTGTCAATGCACTAGGGAACAGTGCATTGATGTGTGAGTCTGCGACTTTACAAAGCACCGCTCTGCCTCGTTCCGGCCGAATGGTAACGCCAAATTCGACCATCGCCTTCGTTTTTGACCGACGACTGCTTCCTCTTCCCGTCCGGCGTGACCTATCACCACCGTATGGGCTTCATCGTGAATGCAGTTTTCATGGCGATCGCATCCAGCATGGCCTTCATACTGCGCCACCTGCAGGCACAGTACCCCTACCCAGAGCTCGCGGAGCTGCTGAGACCTGACCAGGAGATGGGCCCCGCTCAGAGGTAGGAGCTTGAGTGGCCGGGTACGAGAAGGGGCAGGCTGGCTTGCGCGTTATTCTAAGAGCAACTCATAACTCGTAGCATATACTTTTGGGGAACTTTTCAAGAAGCGGTGTTTTTTCACCTGCCCAGACAGAGGGCCTGCAAGGAGAGCAGCATGCAATGAGAGCATGTGGTGATGAGGGGCGGTAAGCCTGAGTCTCAAGCAGCATCAAGGTTGACTGTAGCCGGTACTCCGCACAACGAAGCTTACATGATGCATTTTAACTTTGGTATGCCGTATGAATCCACAAAAATCATTAAATGTGATTACATAGATATACCCGTCGTCAGAGGAGAAACATGCTAAGAGGGTATCACTGAAGGAAGCTTGCTGAAGTTAGGTGGGGGTATGAATTGAATCAATCAATCAATGTGTGCCGGGCCGCGGTGGCACCAATTTGCCCGTGCGTGTGCTGCATGGTATGCTATTTGTTGTGATTGATGGTGCTGGTATCTGATGCATATGTCGATGGAAAAGTCGGTGTTAAACGTACCAAACGTCGGCCACCTTTGGGAAAGTCGCGCGCCTACCTTCGGTTAACTCCTACAGCAGCATCTGCTCTCCATCCTCGTCTTCGTCGCCTTCCATTCGACAGTCCATGTCGACAATATCGCTCTCTTCCATCTGGGCGTCGACAGCGTGCTCGCATTGCTGCTGGACCTCCAAAAGGCCAAACAGCGACGCCGCAGAACCACCGACGCCACTATCGCTGCTGCTCCGAAGGTACTTTCGTAGCAGCTTGGACTCTGGCAGCGCGGAGAGGGCTTGAAGGCCGTATAACGATGCGAATGGCTGCGCATGCTGCTTGGAGGCAGCGCTGAGGAGGCCGGCATGCGCCGACGAGGGCCGGCGAAGCGCGGCGCTGGGAGAGTCGCTGTCCTCCTCGCTCGACATGCTCTCGTCCTGGTCTCCACGACCGCAGCCGCGGCGCTTCCAGCGCCGCTCGAAGGGATTGCGCACATGTATGCGTGAGATGGGCGAGAGTGGGGATCGAATCAAATCGATGCCGAGAGCGCCGACGGGCGGGTGTGCTGTAGTGACGGCTGCCGACGAGGATTGTCGCTTGACTTGATTCTTCTCACTGGTGTGAAAGACGTCATCGGTGGCAGCGGCGGCCCTGGCGTTGGTCGGTGCGAGGCTTTTCTCTGCCACCGCTTCCATGGTGGAGATGGCGAGCGTGTCGAGCACAGGCGAGGGGGGCCTGCTCCTTGCAGTGGGTCCAGGGGAACTGACCCGAGCCGCCGCCTTTACTGGCTCTGTCGAGGATGGCAATGGCATCAGCTTCGCTGGCCGCCACGTCGGCGAGAGCAAGCGTTGCGATGTGTCTTGTCTCGATTTCGGGCGCAGCTGAGTCGGGAGAATCTGCGGTGATGCACCCATCCTCGCCTGCTCGCTTTCGCTTGCGTTCTCGATGCCGAGGCCAATGGTATTTGGATGTATCGAGATCGAGGCGCAAGTCATTGCTTCGTGCTTATCTTGGTTTGCCTCGGGTGGGGCCTTGCACTGCGGCAGCGGTGGCAGTGGCGGAGTTTCAGGTGCGCTGGAGCTGTGATTGCTCATAGCCTGCGACGAGGCCATCGTCGGTGTCGAATTGCAACTCGAGATGACAGACGAGGGGCTGCCATCGAGCACTGCGGCTGAGAGTAAGTGACGGGGAGGAATTGCATTATATGTATGATGTCCGGCCGCAGAGCGGTGTGGTCGTCTGCCTGCCGGCAACGAACTGCGTCGACCTTCTCCGCCCGGCGCCACTGCACCGGCATGCGATGGCGCGGAATCCTCGGCCAAAGGAGAGGCATAGGGCCCGTGTCGATGGTCGTGCTTGTGCTTGCGCATCAGCGTTATGGGCCGCCTGGGCGTCGGCGCGACGATCAGCGTTGAGGCAACTGGGGTGCGGCGGCTGCCGCCCGCTGTGCTGCTGTTTGCCAGGTGTGAATAAGGCTGTTGCAGGGCGGCCTGATGATCTCCATGGCTGGGATGTTGCAGTTGTGGCTGCGGCTGCGGGTAATGCTCAGTGTACATGATTCGCGTCGTGTCGAGCAGGCTTGGACGCTCAAGTTGGTAAACCGATGACAAGTGGGCGGCTGAGTTGCGCACGTCTCCGGAGCGAGGGTGGGCGAGAGCCGGAGGGAAACGGAAGGCACTGTCGGTGGGCTTGAGCTACGAGTCAGCGTTGCTGCGCTGCGAGACGGAAAGGGGTAGAAGCCTATCAGGCAGCAGTATCAGTCGGCGTTGCTTGCTCCTTGCCGGGCGTCATACAGGGAAGCGAGATGCGCACTGCTAAACCGGAGCGAGTCTAGTTGTGTTGGATGGGTGTAGGCTGATCTCTTTTGCCAAAAACCAAAGCGGAAAAGCAGAGGAAGCGACTCTCGCTATTCGACCGGCACCACAGCACACTCTGTTGTCCCCAGCACCGATCCGGCGGTTCGCTGTGGGTTCCAAAGCTTGCTCGTCTGGCCAGGAGTGTGCGCGGAACATACGATATGTGCCAATGGGCCAATACGCCAGCCTGTGTTCCAACGCTGGCACATCTGGCCATGGCACATCGACGGGAAAGGAGTGAGGACCTGAAGTACCGAGCGCCATAATGGCATGCGCCATCGATTCGCCTACGATGTGTCACGTAATACGCTGCAAAAGCCATGGGGATCCCAAGGATTCGGAGGGAGGAGCAGAAATCCGGCAACAAAAGCTCGTATCCCCAGGATTTCAGAATGTCACCCGTAGAAAACGGGACTTCTTCGTAATACGAACTGCCAATGTGCCAGAAGGCACCATGCGACATTTGAATGGCTTCACTCTTTGCCGAATGTACGCTATACGGTGGCCAGGAGACGGTCGAATCGAGATTCGAGTATCACGTTTCGGGTGGGAAGCCGAAGCGAAGTCCTTTCCTTCCCAGCCGTCGAATGACACCTAGAAGGTATGAGTGTCTTGTGTCCATTCGACCACCGCGTGCCTGCGTGCATGGTCAGCAAATGTTGCTTACAAAGACACGGCTGCCTTTGTTGAAGCTGTCCTTTCTGGGTCATGAGGAAGGCGTAGAAATCGCTTAGGCAGGTTGAAGACTGGCCTGGCCAGAATCTCAGCAGGTGCAGTGTATATTCATCCACTTGCGCCAAGTAGAAACATGACCCCATGGGATCGCGACCGAGGGGAACACGGTCGCGGCTTCGTCCGCTAGGTAGTGCGGTACAGCTACGAAGTGAGAGATCACGTCGGCATCCATGGCAGCAAAGTGATCAGGACCTAAACCTCCGGACATGGTGCCCACCTGTAATAAAGGTGAAAACTTGAGCGTGAGCTTGAAACCGCATGTGCAAGCTTCATCCGGCATCTTTCACCCGCAAGAGACACTTACATCCCATCCAAATTGCCTCCATACTTCGTCCTGGCTGTCAGAACATGAGGGCATGTTACGGCCCGATGCAGTTCATATTCGCATTCACATTCTGCAAGAAACATGTATCATCCTAATCAATGGCGGGGGCAACGCAACCGCCTGCAGCCCACCGGCGCAATCAGTTCTTAGCACCATGAAAGCCAGTATGATGTTGCCAGATGTTGACATAGTTTGTGAATCGCTGACGGGAAGGCATTCGAAGGGGTACCTGGGTTATGCACGACACCGCACTGGCTGAAATGTATCAGTCATCCTACCGAACGTTTCAGCACGGAAGAGACATAGAACCCGTCCAAGTCATGCGGCTCGTCCGATTCTGATTTCTGGATAAGGCTGCATCGCGCACGTAACATCGGGAAATCGGAATGCTGGACAACATGTGCGTCGCTCCAGCTCGCGGCCAGCCGCTGGATCCACGCTGGACAAGGCTCCACCTTTGGCAAATGTACATAAGTGGAGTTATCCTTCGGGCAGATCGCAATTAGCAAGTGCACATTCCACTGGTTTGGACGCCAGACGCCAGGCCCGTTTCCAACTGGCGAGTGACGCCTGGTGGCGCCGGACTAGAATATTCTGGAGGTCACCTCGCGTTGGTTAGTATAGAGCAATTCTTGGTTTTTTGGGGGGGTTCAGCCGGAACCTCCGAGCCCTTTGCGTGACGCCGATGGCGCAACACTTATACCGCTTCCGTGCTGACTCGCTCATGCCATCGAATGAAGAACGGATCTACATATGGCTCATCGGCCATCGCTCTTCTCATGTCTGTGATATTTGATCCTTGATGCCTGATACCGAAGGAAGGGTTTCCTAGTCCTCGATGGATGCACCTACATACCATACAGTTGAAGGGGTCGAGCCGCAGACTCATGCATGCCACAGGGCAAAGCACATCAGCAAGCCGCAATCGCAATGCAATTAACTCTCCCCATGGCCCAGTGTCGGCACCAGAAGAAGCATGCTGACCGGGCTCATAGGGTCCAGAAAATTTAGGCCGGGATTACCGGCCTGGCAGCGGCAGGAAGCGTTAGTAGTACGAGTGTCGCGGCAGGCGCTTCGCTCGTATGATGCTTATATGCTGTCAATACTTCCGACACATGTCACATTGCGTACTTGCCTACAAGTTCTGCTCATGACCTGTCTTCACAGCGCACACAAAAGTCACCAGCAGCAGCAGCAAAACGGAACAAACTCGACAAACACAACCCACAGACAGCAGGTCGCAGCAATCATCTTCCACAAGTGACTGGCCTGCCGCATCTCAAGCGGTCCGACCATGAGACTTCCGTGCACGCAAACAGTTCCACGGTGCTCGGCCCTTGCTACATGCGCGTAACTGATTGGCTTGGGCCGATCCATTGAACAGGCGAGCTTTTGACTCGCACCGGGTACGACTGCAGATGGAGACCAGTCGAACATTTCGTCAATGTCACATATTCACATTCTTGCTAGCTCAACGCCTAGCGCTCTTCAGTGTGCGCGACCTGACACCTTCATACATATTCATTTAAATGGACGATGACGAATGAGTTCGTCTTAGAGAGCGCCAACCACCGCTTCAGAGCTTGAAGATATCTCGCTGGGTTTCTGGCCGCATTTAATACGTCCGAAATGTTTCAGCCTTGAGTGCCCGATCTTTTGCCAGGCCCAAAGGTCAAGGCAGAAAAATCTGGAATATTTGTGATCCTCTTTCTATTGGGCCCTGTTTACATTCGCGAAATTGACCTCCGCGGATTTGTTCTCAGCTGAAATATTTTGAAGTTACCTTGCAAATATCAAAGCCATGCGTGTGCAACCTACAGTACAAAGATGGTTCACATACTTTTTAGTCACTGCAAGGCGGTGGAGGACGTGCGATCTTGGTGACTGTATCGTTAGACAGCTTAGATGAGTTCTGACCATCTTTCTCCTCCTGGCTTTCAGGATGGGTTTCCCTCGTCGATTGTGAATTTTGCCCTCGGTCTCAAGCAAATCGTGTGGCAAAGGGAGGGGGGGATGAGGAGCTAGCGTCGCGCTCTTCACAGTCTGCGTAGATTAGATTTCGATGACGACAGCTACGAATATGGTGCTTGCGGCAGACAGCTGCAGAAAGAAGCGAAGGCATTGCAACAGATGATGTGCTCCGGTGGAGACTTGTCGGTGTCCACTGGTGCCTCTTCCTCGCGCTTCATCCGTTATTCGCTTGAGCTAGAGTCTTTCCATTGCCTTATGACCATTTGTCTCATTCTCCAACCCTTTTGATCTGCCCAAGTACTGTCTCTGCGTGATCAGAGTTCCCAGATTTCATCGTCAGCTGACCACCACGTACGAAAAAAGCGATCTTCGGAGCCGAGTGCGAAAGAAGTCGTGTCATGGGCCCACGGCTTAACCGTGTGAGCAAGGTTGAAGTGCGACTTAATATCGCTCACGATGATTTGGTGGCCGGATATCATTTTAGCGCACGAAGATCATCTGTTCAGACCTCAGAATACCCAACCATAGTGAATGCAAGGTCGAGATGGAACTCTGATGGATAGGAGTGAGCAGCGATAGATGGCGATGAAGCTATGAAGTAGCATATATGAAGCGCAGCCGAACCGGAGGTTCGTCGGCAACATTTCACAATCAGGGCGCCACTCCGTAAAGACACCCTGTAAAAGGCATCAAATGACTGCGTTTCATGTGATGCTCCCAAGGGAATCTACGCTCCGGCCAGCCAGCGCAGCGACGAGATGATCCCACGAGATGCCGTCCACTGGCCTCGATTTACCCAGCCGATCTGCGAGTCGAGCTGCGAGGAGATGCTTACACTGCATGCGTACGAGCAGCGAAGGAGCCACGTGCCGCGAGGTCAGTTTCTGTTTCTATTTCCGTTTCCATTTTCGCCTCACGTCCCGTGCCCCTTTGATACGACGCACCATGAGAAAGGGAGACCCTTGCGCAGCTGATGTGCCCGAAAAAGCAGCGGCAGACGCAGTGAGAGCCTGCCCTGCCCTGCGATGCGTCCCCTCCCTTTCGCCTTCACCCGGCCGCAGCTCGGCATCGATAGAAGCAGCTTCTGCTGCTGCACGCTGTCCATGAACAGTGAGCCCAGCACTTTTGGCTGCAATTCCAGGCCCATAGGCGCGCACCGTGAAAGCAGGGCAGGGACAATGCGGAGGTTGGCGCAGGGCAGACGGTATCAGCCTGCTGCGTCGTGCGTGGCAGTGCGGCGCCGTTGTGCTGGTCTCGTCTTGATCGTGGCCTTGCTCTTGGCCATCTTTGATCGAAGCTGCACCTGCATTTGGCTTGTGCAGCCGCTGCCAGAAGACGGTGTAGCTGACACTGGGGTCCGTAGCGGATTGCACGACATAGTAGACGACGGCGCTCCCGCCGCGCGAGACATGGGGGCTGGGGATCGCGAGGACTGATGTGCCCGATGGAAAAAGCGCATCGA